ATCTCAAAATGGAGGGAGAGGGTTTTTAAGACTGGCAACCTCTTCCACATTCCTTTACCTCCCCCTGTCTTTTTTCCTGAATGTTTGTTCTAGTTTTGTACCTCCTGTGGATAAAGAGCTCCCACCTTGCCTGGCTGCTGATGGCTAAAAGCAAATAACCTCTGTACTGTGATTGTTCTCAAGACAATGAGAATACCATATTTTTCAGCAGAAGATGCTTAATTACGTAGTTCAGGACTGACTTTTTTCCTAAAATAAGGCCTAAATTTTAATGATTTTTCACTTAAACTTAATCTCCCTGGAAACTTGGATGATTTTGAATAGGGGGATTAGGCTTTAAAGTTTGAGTGTGGGTTGGTTGTTATTTTTTCCCTGGATAGTGAGAGAGCTTATTTCCAAAGACGTAGCTAAGATCTTACCTAGCATTATCAAACCACTTACTTAGCTTTAGACCATCAGGACATCAATTCTGTGAGCCTTAACTAATTCTTCTCTATCTCATTTCAATAGTAGAAGGATGCTGCTTATCTTTTCTTAGGAGGAAGTGAACTCTGCTCTTGCTGCTGCTAGAACAGGGCAGTGACAGTAGGTGTAGAACATGATGCTTAGTGTAAATACATTTCCCAGTCACTGCCACCCTGAATACAGAATCTTGACTTAGCTGCAGCAAGGGAGTGGGTGGTTGGGCAATAGCCTCTTGCATTTCCTTAGACAAGTGTGGTTGGAAAAATAAACTCAACTGCCATCCTAGAAAGTGGAATCCATTACTGGATCCATCCATGGAGGAGAGATGAAAACAAGTGATGCTGTGTTCCTGAAAAAATAAGTAATCCAACACCCAGCTAGTTATCAGTTGAGCAGAGGTTCTTCCAAAGAGCTGTGTGGATCATGTTGCTGTAATAAAAGATGTAGTTTTGATGGAGTTAAGAGAAACTTGATGTACTATATGGTTTATTCTCCAACATTGTAGAACATTGATGTACTATATGGTTTATTCTCACTACATTGTAGAAGCTCTGCAGTGTGTACCATGTGTCATGCATAACCAGTAATAGAAGAGGTGGCTTGTTTTAGTAAGCTTTGGCTTGAGTTCACTTCAAATGTACAGTGTGGATAAAAGTTGTTATTTTGCTGAGATCCCTTTGTTTTTTCTTTTTTCCTTCTCTAGTCTGTGATAACATGGAGAGGTACAACTCAGCCAGTCCTTTCCTCTGCATGGATCTCACTTACATCACTGCTTTATTAAAGGAAGGTTTTGGATTTAGGGACAACACAGTCTTAAAGGTGAGAAAAAAAACAGTTAAATCCCTATTGATTAACATGCATTAGTTAATTTTTCTGACTAATTATCTACTGAATCTTTCCAGATTTGTGACATGTAGTTGCTGTCATTTGTGTAACTTACGAATCTAGAGAACTGTCAGGAATAACTTGTTTTTCTTCTTTTATAGTTGACAAAGAAAGTAAACAACATAGAGACAAGCTGGACTTTGGGTGCTACCTTTTACCTGCTGCAGTCTCTGGGAATGACTTATTGACTTGTGATACTGCTGTGGACTTCAGCATTTCTGAAAATGCTGAGAAAGTAAATTGCAATCTCCAGGTATAGTGTTCAGCTGGACTGGTCACAGAGCAGAACATGGACCAAAAATATATGACAGCTCTTTACCCTGGATTGGCATTGTGCCTAATGAGAGTATGATTTATAACTGTGATTGCCATAAATGATCCAGAATCTGCCTTAAGAAAGTCAAAAGGTCTAAACTCCAGCAGAGAATAAGCAAGGGGCTCAAAATCAGCTTTCACCAGCAAGTTTGTTAGAAGCACAGAGTTCCTGGATGTGGTGGCAGACTACAGACACATGACTTCCCCTACCCCCTTCTATTTAAACATAAATAACTTAAATTTGCTTGTGAGATGTTAAATACAGAAATTAGGAATAGCATCAACAGTGATGCAGAGAAAAGTGAACAACTCTGGATGCTGCCAACCTCAGTGTTCCAAAAATCCAGCTGCTAGCTTAGCAAATACATGGCAAGAATATTCCAGTCTTTCAAGGGCCTGCTGTAAGTACACTTTGGGCATGGTTTTGGGAAAGGTGCTGGCTAAAACATAGTCATTTACCAAGCAGTTTTTAGGCAGTAGGCATTTCCTAAGCAGAAGGTGTGCCTATGTTTCAGTTTTGCTGCCCTTTCCAAGTCTGTGCAGCTACACCATACATCTGACTACCAGACTTGATAAATTTATTCATTTAGCATGTAGTCATAACACATAGTTGTGCTGGCACAACGAGGCAGCAGTGCCAGCTATTGAAACTGCCAGAAGATGAGCTTGTCACATTCCACCCACAAGGAGATTGCAGTCAGATGAAATGGCTGATCTGACAGCTCAGTTTGCTGTGAGAGCCAGCTCTGTTTCTCTGCTCTCAGCAAGGCACATCCACAGCCTTCTTCCCTCTGCTGCTGGTGCTCCTCAGGTTCTTGTATGAACTGATTCAGGACACCTGACCTGAGGTGGTGCTCACCCAAGAGTCAAGTCTGGTGCTATCCCAAGGACAGCAGGCAGGGCACAGCCCAGCAAGGCCTGCTGGGCCAGCAAGAGGTCTGAGCACCACACTCCCTTTTGCTGGAGTGAGCTCTAAGGTGTGGTCTCCCATTTGAAACCCATCCATTGCCCTAAGTAAAAACAGCTGTAGAGCTGTCTTCCCCCCATGAAATAATTGGCAGCTTGCTACTGTCTTCACCTCTTCAAGGGATGTGTAAGGTACAGGTGAATTTACCCCATCACAACAAAGAGGTATTGCTCATGTGACTGAGGGAAACTTCTAGCCACTGCTGTCCCTGGTGGGCAGTTGCAGTTACCAAGTGTCCCAGTTGCTCTAAAACACCTTTCTGTCAAACCAAAGACTGCCCTCACGCTGTCTTCTCTGCAAACTGGATTTGAAAATAATTGGTAATTCCCAGCAAGGGGAGAAAATCATGCACTCATGTCTTCAATGGTCTTGCCAAACAGTTTGGAGACTTAAAATTTTGCCTTACTGTGAACATTAGTCCTTTTCCTCTAGTTAGTAGTGCAAGTTTGCCTGTGGCTGATTAAGCTACCACTTCTCATATCAGGTTTTACAGCATGAGGGTGCAAGGCATGCTTTTGATTGAACAAGTTCAGTCAGCAACAAGAAGCCAAGGGTTGCAGATGGAGCCATCCATACTTATCACTGACACTTTGCCATAAATTCAGGCTGCTTTTTTGAAACAGGACATGCTCATCCTACATGTGTGGTCCTTACCAGAATCTGTTTGAGATCCACATTGAGAAATTCCTGTGTCACACCAAAGTTCTGTTCCTTTCTCTCTAGAAGTTTCTGTTTGAACATGAAGGAAGTAATTGCAGCCTCTTCTCAACCATAAACATTTCTTATTCCTCTTCCTACTGTTGGCAAAACTTGGTATATGGTCTGGTCTGCAGAACAAGGTGACTGCAAATGCATTCATTATGCCTTCAGTGAACACTTCTGTATTCTCAGAAAAAAACAAAGTAGGGGTGCAGTGGTTACTGGCCAGGCTGCGTTACCCTAAGAACAAGCTAATTTAATAATCCAGAAATCATCTTTCAGTCTGAGCCAGTGCTATGACAAACTCTTCCTGGATCTTGGGGCTAAGAGCTGGCAGCAGTGAGGCTGTTTTGAAGGTGGGATGCTCTACCTAAGGGAGAAGCAGCAGTGTTATCTGCCCCCTGAAAACACACCAGCCCTGAGGAGGGCTGGAGTACTGGGTTTTGCCTGAAACAAGGAGGGGCTAGAAGAAGGGTACCATGCAAAGGAAGTTGTTTCTTCTGCATTCTTTTCCTCAGACTCTGGTACTACAAATGCTAAGGGGTAGCATCTGCTTCCCAGTACCAAAGTTGCATTTAATCTGAATGCTCAGGGCCTTCATTTGTCAGTGGCACAATTCGTTAACTGAAGCAGAACTTCTGCTCTCTGTTACTGGCATGATCCTTCAGTTATGGGAGAAACAAAAAACTCTGTTAAAAGGTTTATTTTTGCAAGAATTTGCAGAATTGAGCCCCTGCTGTTTACATCTGAACTGAAGTGGGTGGGGGGGATCTGACAACCCAGTCAAGTCCTCACACTTACCCTAGTGCAATGAGATTATTTATTACCTAAACTAAAGAGTAAGCAGCCTTTTAAGAGAAGAGCTCTACTTGCAGCCCTGATTTTTATCTCCTCCTTTGTAATGTCTTTGAGCCAGGCACTAACAAGGACTGCCTAATATGAGTGACTGCAGAAGCACAAGTAATAGCTTTCACTTCAGTTTCATTCTTTCTGATGTTGATTTCTGATACTGGTCACCCATATGTGTAAATCTTGCCCATGGGCAGTGCTTAGTTTAATTTTGTGAGTGGCAAATGTCTAATGCAAGATGCTGGTGTTTGGAACCGAAGACAGAATATCTTGAATTGTCTATTTTAGTAATTAAAGCATTTTTAACAATATTGAAGACGTGGTATAGTTTTCTTTCCTGGATATTATTGTTGCCTTGTATCTTTTCCATGGAGCCCTTAGCCATTTCCACAAGAAACACCATTTTAAAATAAAGCACCAAGAGAAAGGCAGGGAAAAGGGTGCAAGAACAACAGACAGAGTTTTAAAATGTATCTGCCACCATGTGTTGTTTCTCTCTGCTGCAAACTACCCCTTCTGTCTGAGCTGAAGTGCCAAGAAGCCAGGAGTGATGCTACAGCTCTAGCAATCATATCAGAAGAAACTGAAAGTAATTAAGCAGCAAAAGCTGTTAAAAATTAGCCAGCAGTTGGCAAAATTCAGCATTGTGTTTGCCAAAAGACAGACAGCTGTTTGCACCTCAGTCTTCAATTCAGGAGGCCCAGATTAAAAGCACATACTGTACTTAGTTCTGTGGCTGAAGACATCATGGTACTATGGAAAGAAACCCTAAATCTTCCTGAGGAGGGCAAATGTGTCAGCTTTTGCATAAACCAGTGGATGGTGTAATACACAGCTCAATCCGTCACTTTTATTGTAAATTAAAATAAAAATTCAAAGATTCAAGTAAGTCACAGTCCTTTTAAAGGCAATGCATTCATAGGCAAGCTGCTGACAGGCAGACTGACAACAGATCACTTGCTGGCAAAAGCCATGATTTGCTCCTGAAAGAGAAGAAAAAGAGAAGTAATTCATAAGCATGTGTTTTAGAAAGAACCTTTAGGCACATTCCCATTCATATAAATGAACAACAGTTCTTGGCCAGGCTTTCTAGCACACACAGAGAACCTATCCCTATGTCCTAGAAAATTAACAAAATTGTAGCATTCCTGTCCTTCCCAAGCAGTACAAAGCTGGTAATTCCAATGGGTTCTGTGCTCAGAAAAAGACATCTTCAACTGTTTTTTTTTTCTTTTAAACAGAGAAAGAGAAAAAAACTTGTGAGCACTGAAGCAGCAGCATAGTCTTCCTTAATGAAGACACTGTGTCAGTGGCGGCTGCTCTGCCTTAGGAATGTACTGATTTTTAGTTGAGGAAGTGTCTCAACTGTGACCATGACACAAAGGAAACAGGGCACCTGTGTTTAATATGAAGATGGAGAATAAATGAAGTAAAAATTGAAATCCAAAGATGAGAATCTAATTTGCTGGTGCTTGGAAGCTTTGAGAGCAGAGGGCTTAAGGAACCTCACAAAAATCCAACAACTGGGTCAAGAGGGTGAGAAGTTCAGGCAGATGGGCTGCAAACAGAGGGTCTAAGACAGAAACTCCTCACCACCACCTTCTTCAGGTAATTCCCATTTTAGAGCCTTGAACTTCTGCCATGAGGGAAAAATTCACAAGGCAAAACAGCACAGAAACAGTTAAGTGTGGGCTGCACACTGCATCTGGGAAGTCACCCAATCTCTTAGTGAAGATGTTTCTTCACAGGCCTGTCTTCTCTGTGCATTGCTAGAATACAATTCAAGGTTTGACACTAATTCCATAGCAAAATAAAGCCAAAGATTTCTGATGACCTCTAACTCCTAATTACTGATACAGAATATAAGAGACTTAGATCTTTTATATCCCTTGTGCTGGAAGGGGGGAAAAAAAGTCTCTACTGAGTCATCAGTTATTTAGGAACTCCTCAGGCCCATTTAGGACACAAACCCCCCAGTTTAAAATAGTATTTTCCAACCAAAAATGTTTCATTTTAAACAAACAAAGATCTTTACATCTTGTGCATATTTCATGAATAGTAGAATAGAATGAACTCCTACAGCCCTCACTGAAGTTAGTGAGATCCTTACTTTGACAGGAGGCAGAGCATTTGTTGCTTGCAATCCCCATGTCCTCAGCAACACCAGAGGAGCCAGTGTGGTAGAGTACAGCCTTTTTAGCATATCAGTAGCAGCTAACAAGGAGACATTATGCCTCTGACGTTCTGTTTCAAACTTGAGGAGGTGTTTTAAGGAGCCTGGAAGAGATAATTGAATGTTTCTATTACACTTGATGTGCCACAAACAATTGTGCATCTTAACTACAGAGCAGTTTCCTCTGGAACTGAAAGAGAACAGAGAAATGGCTCATCTCAATAAACACCTCTTTCCACCAGCTAGTGCTCTTCATCTCACCACATCTCTTACTGCCATCCTGCAGAGCTTTATTTTTTTTAAAGCAGCTTTAAGATTTGTGGGATGGAAACTGCATCCAAGAATCAAGAACTGCTTCACTTCAACAAAGTTTCAAACACAAGACAGCAGCATGCTAACCACAGGGACTGCAGCAAAGGCCTGGGAGACTAATCCTTTGCTGCCCCAATGCTGCCTTGGAGCCTTACCCAGATCGCTCCCGTTGAAGGCTGCTGCACTGAGGTGATGAGCTAAACATGCAATATCACCAAAGCCCAGGTTCACTCCTTGTCCTGCAAGTGGGTGGACTCTATGTGCTGCATCCCTGGAGCAGAAGAAGACAGAAATTTATTTCCCTTCTTGAAGACAGCCACAGTGGCTGACAAACCCCAGAAGGGACAGTGTAGCACTCCTCACCTCTTTGCAATGAACCACCTTAGAGCAGCACATGCACTTTATCCAGTACCTCCTTGCATGCTATGCTGAACTACCTGACTGCCTCTCCAGTTGTAAGAAGCAAGACATAGGGGAAGTAACAAAAAGCAGGTCTGAAAGGAAAAATTATAAAGAGGTGACTAGCCAAAGTCCTCTCAGATACATGTGGAACAGGCCTTTATGTTTTTGTAAGTGACCTCAGCACAATAGGAGCTCTGTCAATGGCACATTGCACAAACACAAAGTGGACAGATACCATGAGTATAAAAGAGAGGTGGGATTATCATTGAATAGAAACAAAATCAGGCTCTTCTATGAACAGACTTATCTGTAAAGCTCAAAGACAAACATTGCTGTGGGAGTCACAAAGTAAAAGAAATTAGATTAAGTTTTGATATGAAATGCAAGATCATGTGCTTTACCAAGCAATAAAGCACAGTGTGCTCCCAAGAGTGGTTCATAGGTTGGTAAGATGAAAAGTGCACCACACAAAAGTGTAGCACAGCATCCAAGAATTACTGAAAGTTACCACCATACTGCAGCTGGGGCAGAGAAGAAAGTACATGCAACCTTAGAATATAAGAAATGAGGTATTTTTCTGTTTGAATAGGCCACCATACAAAAGTCTCTCACATCCCACATGGAGTAATTTTTGTCATTTGTGTTCAAAAAAGGTGAGTTAAAAACTCAAAGTGGTGCTCAGAATGGCTGTACAGATCCAGCATGAGATACTGGATGTTTCACAAGACTGTACAAACCAGGGAAGGGAAATAATTATCTTTCAATTTACACAAACAGCACAGATAACGGGCAGAAAGCTACTCATACAAAAGGACAGGAGGGTACCCAGAACAAACTGGATCTGGGTAAAGTAAGACTGGAACAATGTATCATTTCTAACATCTGATTTGTTGGCGGGGAGCTGCTGTCCTCAGGTCATTCCTAACCACGAGCCACCCGCTGTCCTCAGGTCATTCCTAACCAAGTGCCACCCGCTATCCTCAGGTCATTCCTAACCAAGTGCCACCCGCTGTCCTCAGGTCATTCCTAACCAAGTGCCACCCACTGTCCTCGGGTCATTCCTAACCAAGTGTCACCCGCTCCCCAGGGTGGCGCTGAGCACTTACCCGATGAGAGCCACGCGGGGCCGGACGTACTCTGTGGCGTGGCCCAGCCCCAGGGGGAACATGGCTCTGCTCTCTGCATCCACGCCAGCAACGCTCGGGGGCAGCTGGCGGACTGCAGTCCCCAAGGGCTTCAGCAGCGAAATGGCAGAACGAAACATGGCCCCGGCAGTGTCAATGAAGTCAGAGTGGTTTATGTTGCTCCACTGAAACAGACAAACAAATCTTTGGAAGCTGACCCAAACTAGACCCATAAAAGAACCCAGTTGAAAAAAAAAAATCTGAGTTCCAATACTGAATTTTAATCTCTTGGACAGAACTATACAGTAGAAAAAACTATCTTCACCATTTTAAGACATACAAATTTCCAACTAGGATGAGCCTACTCTTCCTACCTTTTGGAAATTTAAGTTAACTTCTGTGACTTTCAGAGCTAACCTAATTCAGTCCCAAGGGGTCATCTTTTCTTTGCTAAGTGCCTCTTTAATATCATTCTCACCAGAGGAAGGAACTTCAGAATGCACCTCTCCAATTACTGTTGTTTAGCTACAGAATTCTGTTCTATTTCTTTAAAACCTCTTCCCTGCCATGAGGCTGATACTCACAAAGGCAGAGTTGATGCTATCCACAAAGCTTTCCTCATCCATGGCAAGAAGTTCCGATGCATGGTCGTGAGATGTAGACCAGACCAGAGAGCTGGCAGTGTCAGACAGCTAGTTTAAGAGAATGTCAAGGGTAAATATCAAGAGAAAGAGAAACAAAAATAAACATTCAGTGCAAAGACTTCTCCACTGCCCTGCCTCATACTGTCAGTCCCTCTGAAAATTACAGTTCCTGCCCAACTTGTTACAAGTGGGAAATGCCAAGGATAGAATGAGATGGCAGGAGGGGAAAACGCAATAAATGAAAAGTGAAGGGCAGATGTGCAAATTCTTAAGAGACAGAACCAACACAGAAAGGCATGGACAGAAATAAAGTTACTAGACTAGAAAAATTTTTAAAACATTTTAAAAAATACAAACACCTTACCGGAAGAAGTGCAATTGGCCCTGTGGGAAGGAACCGCTGCCATGCTACATTGTTGTCTGTGGCCTACAGGGGAAAGAAGCAAGTGGGCAGCAAGCCAGATCACCCTCTTAGGTTCTGCTGCTTATGGAAGAGTCAGTTCAGCAGAATTTTACCTCAGATAAATGGAGAGTTGCCACCACAGCTGACTGGTCATACTGATGTTCAATGTTCTTAATTTCAGCTTCCTTCCGGACCACAGAGTTATGACCATCTGCACCAATCTGTAAAACAAAGAGATGCACAGCAACTTCTTCAGCAGCCCCTAGAAACATTAGGAGCTACTATTTCACTCTAAAAACCTCAGAGTGCATCTGTATATTGCCTGCTTATTCAGGAAAAAAAAAATGCCCCCAAAACCAGAAGAGGTGGTGCCTTCTGCTCTTCTCATATTCAGCAGCATCTCCTTGCAGCAGGCAGAGAGAAGGCCATGCCCAGTGTCCCACACCCTCACAGACAGGGCTAGCCACTCACCTCACTCTAGCACTCCATATGGGTGGAGTGGCACCCATGGAATTGGAACCAAATCAGAGGAAAGGACTTGGGTTAGAGATGATGCCTTATCAACAGAAATACAGAGCTTAGTTACCAGCAGCTTGGTCTGAAGTCTGCGTCCATCAGCTAACTCAACTTGGACCCAAGGGCTTGTGCCACAGCCATGGGAAGGAAGGGGCCAGGTGTACCCAACTGCTTTGCTCCTGTAGAAGACCTCCACGCGGTCTGATGGGAACACAGAGCGCCATGGTCACAGCACAACACGGACAGGGAAATGGAAACATCGCTACAACAGCCAAGGCCATGCAGGTGTCTTAACGGCACCCTAGGAGCTCACCCTACAATTCTCAAGGCACCCCAAAAAACCAGATATGGACAACCCCTTGTCACTGTAAGGCTGGCTCTGGACAAGGAGGTACAGATTTTTTAATTAAGTCCAATTTTGAAGTATTCTGGAGAACTACATTTCCTGCTCTGTAGCCTTTGGAAGTCAGATTTCTCCCTCCTTCCCAATTCCAGAAGGTGCCCATTTCTCAAGAATTACTTGTTAGACAAATTTCTCCCTCTCAAGACTTAGCACACAATAGAAGACAAGTAACTGAAAGCTATCTGCAGGAAATAAAACATTGAAGAAGTTGTCCTCTACCTGCTACTGCATCTAACTGTTTTGTGAGAGCAGACATAATGACATCATTCTCCACTATGTAACCCATGTCATCTAAGTCATCTTTCTCAAAAACGATCATGGCTTCTGAACAAGCATCCCACACCTACGAAGAAAAAATACATTACATGAAGCTATGTGATAAAGAAGTCTCCATTTCAGGGACTTAACAGCAAAAAGACACAGTAATCTAGAAATATAGAACTAGACGAAACATCCTGGATTACTGTTCGTTCCCAGCTACTAAAGTGCATCACATAACTAATTTCATTAAATTATTTAGCTTAAGCTCAAAAAGTAATTCCAAGTCAAGTTTTTCATCCCTACTTTTGTGTTACATAACTGACATAGGAAGCTGTGCTACAGCCTTGCTGTAGGTTAACCCCAGCAGGCAGGTCAGCCCTATGGAGGTGCTTCCCTTCTCCCCTGCACTGAGATGGGGAAGAAAACTGAAAGGATGAAAGTAGAAAACTCATTGCTTGAGGTAAATGCAGTTTAATAGGAAAAGCAAAAGCCACATGTTCAAGCAAAGCAATCCAAGGAATGAATTCACTGCCTCCCAAGGCAAGCAGGTCTTTAGCCATCTCCAGGAGAGCAGGGCCCCATCAAGCATAATGGTTACTTGGGAAGACAAACACCATTCCTCCAAACTTCCCATCTGTCTTCTTTTCCTCAGCTTTTATTGCTGAGCATGACACCATATGGTATGGATTATCAGCCAGGGTCAGTTGTCCAGCCTGTGTACCCTCCCAGTTTCTTGTGCACTCCCAGCCTGCTCACCGGCAGGGCAGTGTGAGAAAGCCTTGGCACTGTTTAAGTGCTGCCCAGCAATAACTAAAACATCCCTGTGCTATCAACAGTTTTCAACACAAATCTGAAACACCATCCCATACAAGCCACCTTTAAGAGAAGAAACTCTATCCCAGCCAAACCAATACACCCTTTATCTTTATTTCCTGGCTAATACCCAAGCCTCAATATCTACAGCTGCCACTAGGAATCCACCTTTCAGCCTGTAACATCAAGGCCCTGGGGACAGGTATTTCTGATCAGACTGCTACCCACAAAAAAGGGACAGAAATGAACATAAGTATGACCTGCCCTTTACCATAGGAATAAAAACCTTTGTGTCATTGATGCAAGTACTTTTGAGCATTCAGAGTAGACAGACACAAGGTGTATCTGCAGCCCTGAGGCACCTGCATTCGCCGGAAGGGTTTGAGTCTCAGGCTGCAGACGTGATCCCAGGCACCACAACCTGAAACAGAAAAAGGACAGAGATGCACAGAGATACAGGTTCACATGGGACACAGAGACCAAAACTAAACTGAAGCTCACTCCACACTCTCCTCCACTCTTCCCTGACTATGCTCAGGCTTGGCTTGCACCTTCCCTAGACAGTGCCAGGTCTGCCTCGGTGCTATCACAGCTCCAGGATCACATTGTTTTACTGTTAACACATGCCAGCAGGAAAGAAACAAGAGCTCTCCATGAGTCTCTGACCTAACAGACAGCTCTCACTGTTCCATCACTGGGCAATAAAACAGACATAGAAATGCACAGCCATTATTGTAGAAAACATTTCTTTCTCCAAAAGGAATCAAGGCTCAAATATCAATTTAAAATGACAATTAATCCTCATTAATTGAGGACTGAGTTACCAGCCTGCAAAGCACTAAGCTTCTTTTGTGAATAGAACATTCCAGGTGCTGTAGAGAGCACCTTACAACCTTTCACTGCCTAAAATCACAAATATTTATATGACAACAAATCAGACAAGATACCAGAACACAGATCCTTGTTATCAAGAGAATTTGGATTTAATAACAACAACTCAGCATATAGAGACAAAGGCAAATAATCCTAATGATGTTAGGATGAAGGCAACATGATCAAAAGGGTTTTTGTTCCAACAAAATCAGCTCAAATATAAATGTTAAAAATGCAAACAATAAAATCATACTTACTGCTTAGGAGGGTAGCTGATCCTGGCGAGATGGAACTGACCCTGTTGCTGTAACTGTCTGGCACGTGATCATATTCCTTCCTAGGACCAGCCTCCAGCAAAGCAATCTTTTTATCATGGAAGTGGATGTCATGCCCTAAAATAAGTAAATACATGCTTTGTTACAATGCTCCTGCCAAAAATCTCAAAAACAAAACACCTGAGTTCTTGTAATAAGACACATTAGATGCAACAGTTAATAAAGAAATGCATATACAGTACAGGTTTTGACCAGGCAGGTGAACTTTTGTATGTTAAAGCTTTATGACTACAGTCCTGTTACTGAGATGGACAACTCTTTTCCAGCTAAAGCAAGGATTACATATTTCCCTTTTGCATAAAGCTTACATTTTTGTACAAATTTGTGCCATATTTAAATGAAAATTTATTACTGGAGTATTATCAAGTGAAATCTGCAATATTTACTCCATGTTTACACCAGAACATGTTTTCCAGAGCTTAAACATAAATTCTCTTTATAGAAGAAGAGATCAAAATAAAACTTCTGTGATATGTAGCAATTACATGATTATTTTCCCTGTCCTCTCATTCTGACAATGGAATAGCACAGGCAGTTTAGACTTTAAACTTCCACATAAAGAGAACTGGAAAAAAAAAAAAAAAAACCTCAAGTAAAGTGTAAAACACTGCAGCTGAGCTGGCCACGCCTGCAGCATCCCAACCACCACAGATGCAGAAGGCACTGAGGACAGAAGTGGTGTCCTTCATCATCTAGAGTTTACTACTACAGCAGCCCTAGAGACAGCAGTGTCCTGGCATAATCTCTAGATTATGCACAGTAATAAACTCATCTCCTGAGAGGTCCCAAACCTGCTTGTCAGCCTTAGGTACCACTGCTGGAGGAGATCCTTCTCAAATCCACTGGGCTCTTGTTTAACAATACAAGCAGAACTTAAGCTTGCCAGGTAAGCCCTTATACTTGCAAAGCACTTATTGCTCAGCATCTTTGATCTTCTGGGCACTACTTTTTTTAGGTTTCTGTCACTACTGCATCCTTCTGAATCCATATTGCAAATAAAGGAGCAGCCAGTACTCTCAGGATCTCTAATGACACAAAGCAAGCAGAAATCCATTTTAACTTGGTATTACAGCGTTTAAAATACTGGGTTAGAGAATGAAACTTGGGATCAGATAATAATGATTAGATGGATGGAGCACCTCTCCCACAAGGAAAGACTGAGCAAATTTGGTTCATTCACCTGGAAAAGACATGGCTATGGGGTGATTGAATTGTGGCCTCACAGTACCTGAAGGGAGCCCACAAGAAAGACAAAAATGGACTTTTTACAAGATCATGTAGTGACAGGACAAGGAGAAACAGATTCAAAATGAAAGACAGTAGGCTTAGATTAGATATTAGGAGGAAGTTCTTTGCTGTGAGGATGGTGAGCCACTGGAACAGGTGTAAATGAAGAGAAGCTGTAAATGTCCCAACCCTGGAGGTGTTTGAGGCCAGGCTGGATGTGGCTCGGAGCAACCTGATCTATGAAAGTGTCCCTGTACACGGCAGGGGGTTGGAGCTAGGTGATATTTAAGGTCCCTTCCAACCCATTCTGTTATTCTATAATCAGAAAAGCATTTTAGCTAAGGGTGACATTATCCATCAGCTATTTAAGGATGAGCATGTTTGACAGAAACACTACAGTCTATAAAACTCCAGTTAATGGCCCCATTAACACTGTGCACACACACAGATATGGCCTGGCTCATCACTGACCGGCTCACCAAACAGCCTCCGGTGAACTTTAGAGCAGGATCCCTCAAGGATCCCTCAGCAGAGCCCGGACACTGAGATCCTACACACGATTACCTCACACTGCGGGGAGTGGGTCACAGCCTTACCCAGCACGGCGGCCATGGCGCTCCCGACCATGCC